ATTTAATAAAAAGCAACGAGCTGCATTGAAATAGCTGTGTTTGGCGTTGGATCCATAACTGCGGGTTGTAAATAGCTGTGTTTGGCGATGCATCCATAACTGCGGGTTGTAAATAGCTGTGTTTGGCGATGGATCCATAACTGCGGGTTGTAAATAGCTGTGTTTGGCGACAGATCCACAACTGCGGGTTGTAAATAGCTGTGTTTGGCGATGCATCCATAACTGCGGGTTGTAAATAGCTGTGTTTGGCGATGGATCCATAACTGCGGGTTTTCCCAACTTGTTTTTGTTTTTTAGGTTCTAGCATTGCTGATTATCCATGTAGCTTGTTTTAACTTTGCATCGTCAAATATAAAAAAAAAGTATAAAAATTTACAACTGACCGATTCTGCTGCTCCCGGTATCTAAGGTCAAACCGCCCTCACCTTAAGGTCATGAACGCTTTCCAAGGTTAGTCAAGAGAGAGGTAGGGTTTAAAAATGCAAATCCTTTAGTGTTCTTTTTAAAGCATTGCATTAAATGACAAATGAACACCAAATAATTCATTTTTCAGGCTTTTCCCCAATTTGTATTTCTACTTTAATAAACTTCGATCTGTAATGTTGTTGTTTGTTATTCTCTTGCTCATTTGCAAGAAAAGAGCAAGGCCGTTCCCATAGAAACAGTCTCATGGCCAATAGGCAAACGCTGTTGATTCAGCGTGCGTTGTCAGGAGATAACGTCGTCACGCAGCGAGGAGTTTATAGCAGTTGGGAGTAGAGCAAGAGACAAATCCGTACGAATGTCACAATGGGTGGTGATTCGCCGTTTGTTCAAATTAAAGACGATGTTTGTATATCGGAACCAGAGCGATTTTTCTTGATTTGCTTCAGACCTCTCTAGTTTAGTGTTCGTTTCGTTACGCGACTTGGTAAGTTCTATTTCAGTAGCTTGTTGGTGAGTAAAGTGACCGCTAAGATAGCAACAATAAAAACACTCCTTAGGGACATAAAAAAGTCGCGTGCGAGAATGCTGAAACATGTACATTTTTCGAGCTCCAACTTGGCGCCCTATCGTTGTAAGACGCCAACCCGAGACAGTGTCAGTCTTAGTTCAACATTAAGTTTTGGCAGCAGTGCGGGTCATGAATTAATGTCATCACGATCTTCCAGCACATCTAGTCTTCAAGAAATTAGCTCTCCACCGCAACCTCCCAAGGTAGGAAGTTATCTCTTGTTACAATGAACCTTCCACCACAACTTCCCAAGGTAGGAAGTTATCTCTTGTTACAATGAACCCTCAACCACAACTTCCCAAGGTAGTAAGTTATCTCTTGTTACATTGAACCCTCCACCACAACTTCCCAAGGTAGTAAGTTATCTCTTGTTACATTGAACCCTCCACCACAACTTCCCAAGGTAGTAAGTTA